AATCACAATACAATTCACGACAAGATGGTAAAGAGGGCCCTGCCCCTGAGGGCTTACAATCTAAAAGGGAGGGGCAAGTGATACATGAGGAGGGAGCTGTGTGGTGATGAATTGTTTGAGAATGTGATGGTTGAGTGGTTAGGTTGAGGTGGGATAGGCTTCCCTGAAGAGATGAGTCTTATGGGATCACCCAAAGACAGTCAGAGTGGGAGATAGACGGACAGGTTGGGGTAAAGAGTTCCAGAGGATCGGCGAGAAGTCCTGGAGGTGAGCATGGGAGGAGTTGATGAGGGAGCTGGAAAGCAGAAGGTCATTTGAAGAGCGGAGGGGACAGTTAGGGTGATACTTTGAGACAAGGTTTGAGATATAGCCGGGGGCAGAATTGTGGATGGCTTTGTAAGTCATTGTTAATATTTTGAATGTTATCCTTTGGGCTATTGGAAGCCAGTGGAGGGATTGGCAGAGGGGTGTTGCAGACACTGAGTTAGGTGAATGAGTCTAGCAGCTGCATTCATGATAGACTGAAAGGGGGATAGCCTGTGTAGAGGTAAGCCAATGAGGAGGGAGTTGTTTTGAGGTTTCATTGTTGAGGAAGGGGCGTATTTGGCGTATAGTGATTGTATGTGGGGAAGAAAGGTGAGGTCCGAGTGAAGGATGACACCTAGCACCTTGGCATGGGGGGAGGGTTGGATAGTTGTGTTATCAATCTCAAGGGAAAAGTTGGGGGAAGGTGCACGGGGGGCGGGAGGAAATATCATGAGTTCAGTTTTTGAATGGTTGAGTTTTAAGAAGTGTTGCGACATCCAGATGGATATGTCAGTTAGTAGATTAGTGGCACCCAAAGACACTGAGGGGGTGAGTTGTGAAGTAGAAAGAAAGATTTGAGTGTCATCAGCATAGAGATGGTATTGGAAGCCATGTGAGGATATTAACTGACCAAGGGAGGAAGTGTAGATGGAGAAGAGGAGGTGAGGGGACCCCTACAGAAAGAGGAAGAGGAGGGGAGGAGTTAGATTTGTAGGTGACACTAAAGGATCGCTTAGATAGGTAGGAGGAGAACCATGAGAGAGCAGAGTCTTGTAGGCCAAGCAAGTGGAGTTTTTTGAGGAGGAGCAGATGGTCAACAGTGTCAAAAGCAGCAGAAAGGTCTAATAGCAAGAGTAAGGAGTAGTGGCCATTGTTTTTAGCTGTTAGTAAGTCATTAGTGAGTTTTAGGAGGGCGGTTTCAGTGGAGTGTAGAGGGCGAAAGCCAGACTGTAAGGGATCGAGAAGGTTGTTATCAGCGAGGTGGCGGCTCAGGTGGCTGTAGATAAGGCGTTCTAGGAGTTTGGAGATGAATGGGAGTAAGGAGATTGGTCTGAGATTGTTGAAGTTGGTAGGGTCCAGTGAGGGTTTTTTTGGTATTGGGGAGACTAGTGCATGCTTTTAGAAGGGAGGGAAAGATGCCAGTAGAGAGTGAAAGATTAAAAATGTGAGTAAGAGAGTGTAGGATAGAGTAAGAGGGTGACCGAAGTAGTGGTGAGGAAACTGGATCCAGGGGGTAAGTGGTGAGTGGGTGTCAGAGAATAGCTTTGTAACCTCCTCTGTGGTGACAAGGTCAAAAGAGGAAAGTAACAAGTGTGATGGTGGGTCTGGTACATTAACAGTGGAAGTTGATTGGAAATTGGCGATCTAATCCCGAATTGTATCTATTTTGTTTTTTAAATGAATGACCATGTCCTGGGCAGTGAGTGAGCTAGTGGGTGGTGGCGGGTGGTTATCCCATTTAGGATGGTCTGTTTCTGTTCACACCCTTTTTTTAGGGAACATTGTCCTGACTTAGCTCACACGCAGCCTGGCACTTCTCAGTTTATCAATTCATTTAGCTCACCAACCTCCTAAAAAATAATAAGTTAAATTATATATATATTGAAAACAAATCACCAATATTATGTTTACTTTTTATGTTCCAAAGGATTTCATGGTGTAAAGAAACTGGATCTGTTGCTCATAGTAAACGCAGTGGACACCCTCCGTGTTCATCGGAAAGAGATAATACTGTAAAGTGCTTAAGAGAATTTGACACTCAAAGAGGAGCTGGTAAAAGAGTGGTCAGAAAGTATTTCTGTGATTTGCTCTGCTTCGACAGTCCGTCATCGACTACTTTCTTTTGGACATAGAGGCCATAAAGCATGGAGGAACCCTCTACTGTCAGAACGTCAGCAAAAAGCTTGCCTACTGTGGGCTAAGCAACATAGACATTGGTTGACACCTGAATGGGAAAAAAGTTTTATTCAGTGATAACTCAACCTTCTCCGTTGCTGCAAATAATGTCACCTTATATGTAAGGAGGTATCCTGAAGAATTCAAGCCACATTGCACCAAGAGAACCATGAAGTACCCAACATCTGTAGTGATTTTGTCTTGTATGGCTGCATATGGAGTTTGGAGTCTATTGTGACTCCGATTGTTGTATTAGCGATGTATCCCTTGCTGAGACCTCTATGCCTGGCCTGTATAAGCAGATATAATTACCACAGCCAATCCTTATCAGATAGCTGAACTCACCAAATACCTTTTTCATCCATAAGACCTTTATTGCATGCAGCAGGTTACAGCAGACAACAGGATACAGCAGATGAATGAACAGATGGTATTTGAAGGTCAAAGATGGTAATGTTTCCAAGCGAGGATATTACATGTGGCCATTAGATGCACTCATTTTACCACAAAGACAAGTTGGACTAGAAAGGGGAAATACATCATAAATGGGGGGAACAAGAAAATGTGGTGCAATAACCAAAACGACCACAAGATGGCAGTATATTAATCAAATATACTGATGTCAAAGGATAATGGCTTAAGGAAAATTAACTATGTGATTCTCATTTCACATTTGTATAAACATTAACTATGACTTTGTATTGTGTCATGTGCTCTGTTACTGAAGTATACTGATATCCTAACTAATAAAATGCTTCCTAGTGCTGGTGAGTCATTCACATGGTGACTTTATGGTCCAGGATGACAATGCTCCTTGCCATTGAGCAAAGACTGTGAAGAACTGGTATAGAACCAGAGGTGTTAGTCATCTGGACTGGCCTGCCCAATCACCTAATTTGAACCCAATCAAAAACTTGTGGAGGAAACTAAAGGGGTTATTCGCAAAGCTGCCGAAGGCAGCCGAGTTAATAACCCAGCCACAGTGAAGTGAGCCGAACGCTGTTAGGCTATTCACTTCAGCGATGTGCTGTTGATTTCAGCAGTGAGTGAATAGTCGAATGCCGCCGAGCCGCCATTTTTTGCTCGGTACCTGTGTGGTACCAAGCAGGGTAGAAAAGAAGTGGGAAAAAATGTTGAGAAATTATTTTAAAAATGATTAAAAATAGGAAAATTAAGAAAAATATATATATTTTAAAGAAAACAAAAAAAGAAAGAAAGAAAAAACGATTGGGTGGAGCTAGCGGTGACAGCTAGCTCTGCCCAACTGTTTCCCATTGGCTGGCACCTGCCAGAGTCTTCTAGCAGGTCCCGACAATGAATAACATCAGGGTGGAGCCAGCCGTGACATTGTTGTTATTGTTTAATGACAGATCAGCGTCCCCAGGCTATTTGGGGACGCTGATCTGTCATTACAACTGGACGGAGCCAGCCGTGAGATCACGGCTGGCTCCGCCCAGCTGTCATTTGCATGGAGATCGGTCGGCTTCGGACGACCTTTCTCCACGCTTCGGGTGTCACTACGCCTCAGCCAAGCCGAAGCATATGCGTTCGGCTCAGCTGAGCCACTCGGCTGCCTTCGGCTGCTTTACAGGCTATTGTGAATAGCCCATACAGCAGCCCTTTGGTTCGACTTAACCGAAGGGCAGAGGCGGCCGATGTGAGCCATAAGATCAGCCAAAGCTACGGCTGGATCCTTCAGCTCTTTAGTGAATAACCGTCTAAGTCTGGAAATATCTAGACTTAGTGAAAAGACTAGTGCATACGATGCCCAAAAGTTGTGCACTACTGTTTAAATAAGGACTATTTACTCAAGTATTAACATATACTTTTTCAATAAGTGTATTTATGTGTCTGTTTTATTCATTATCTGATGTTTCTTTAAACATTTTTAAATGTATCTGTTAAAAACTGATATGTTACGTACCTTATTTCTTATAAGAAAAAAAGTTAATGGGTTTTTCACACATGCGCTTCATTTGCATATCATAATATCATAAACTGATTACTCCTTAGGTCAGATTTGACATTTACATAAAATTTCCTTGGTATATTTGGTATATTATTCAAGTTATTTTCAATTTTTTTTTTATTTCTATTAAAATAGGTTGAGTTCCATGTAGAGGTAGGTGTTGCAAGACTTTTGCACAGCTCTGTGTATATATATATATATATATTACTGACAGCTATGGAAGTCTGAAAACAGGACAGTATTTGGGCATTTCTATTAAGATAGTAGACCAGTCATTAGTCATAGGTTTGGGTTAATCAGGTGCAGGAAAGCTAAAAATGTTTTTTGGAGTACACAAGGAATTTCATGAGGATAACACAAGGATTATCGGGAACAAAGCCCTTGGGGGGCTAAATAAGTAGGGTACTGTTGCGTTGCTTTGGCGCTGGGCATCATGTCCGCTAGCTCTTTAAGACAGCTCCTGACTGCGAATTGGCTGTGAATTGGCCTATAATTGGCTGCACGCCAACAGTGTTATTTCATCTTCATGAAAGAACAAATATATTGATGTGTTCACTTAGCTCTGCTAATTCTTTATTTACTGACACTGGCAGATAATCGTGAACTCATGATGATCAAAAGCTGACATGAGAGGTGTAAAAAGAGTGAACATTCTCGGCCTCAATATACGGTAGAATGAAAAGAGAAATACAATACTATACATTCTTTGTCCTGACCGCGATCTCTATTGTGTTAGTAATGCAGATCCAGCAATGGATATCGTATATAAGGACAGCTGTGTTTGTCATTCCACTGTACTGTCGCCTCACTAGAGACAACCCAGGCAAAAATGGGAAAGGTAAAAGATATAGTTATTTTAAATTACCAAATAATTCTGTTAGTTATGTGTGCTAATATTTGTAGTCACATACAACCCAGATCTTGTCAGCCCAATTAATAAATGACAATCTATAAAATACACATGCTAAAAGGCATGTAGTATTAAGTTAAATGCTTGGTGAAAGCTATTCAAACTATGATTAAATTGGGTACAACAAATTATTTGACCGCTTTATAATAAATTGCATGATGATTTGCAAATTAGCCAAAGTATATCTATCAGTCTGGCAGTTAAAAAGAAAGAATGTGCTAAAGAAACAAAGATAAAATACATTTTGAGCATATTAAGGATGGGTTAGAACTGATATGTTGTTAATGTTATCTGTGTCTTCTTTTCCCAGTGACAACCACTTCCTTTAATTTCTTGTCTTGTTGTCACAAGGACAGGATGTGGGGAGAAGTCTCCATAAAAGGGGTCACAGACAGATACAAACTTATCAGAAATGTTAACTCTTACCCCCCTACCCAACAAAATGTCTGGAGTTGGGCTATACTAAACTGCCCATTATGATAGGCTGGTCTAATTTTTGGAAGCAGTTCTCTGCACGTCATAGTATTTGTGAATTAACATGTAAATAGTATTTGTGACACGTGCAATGCTTGCCTTGGTTGTTAATACACTGTGAACAGCTGTGGGAAATACAGAGAAATCCCCACTATTTTGAAGATCAATGGCAAATGCATCTTGAATTTTGCATCATGTTTAGATGGAAACATTATGACTTTATATATTTAACCACAGAAAACAAAAATATTGATTTTTACTGAGTTTCTGGAAAAGCTTAATTTTTTTACATTCTTTGGAATGCCTGTAAATTAGTAGACTGCTGTCTACCTTGGTTGGCTTCCTAGTAGAGTGAACCCTGCTCCCTGCCATCCTTCAGAAGCCAAAATGAGGAAACATGTTCCACTTTCTTTTTGAACTTTTTAGATTAGAAAATGATGTAAGGATTTCTATAGAATTAATTAATTTACAGAACATCAGTAGATTAAAATGACAAAAAACTGTTTGAGGTGATATTTGCATTACCTAACTGCAGTGGAAATTATTGCAAGCTTGAAATGGGTTGTTATTGAACAAGACAGAAGAAAAAACAGGCTGAGTATAAAGATAAAAACATTGGCAATGATGGCATTTATAACCATGTATATGACTTAACTTGTGGGCTTATATATATCAGATAGACTCCTGAGTTAATATTTACAAAATAGGCTAAGAACATGCAATTTTGCCCAATTGTGACAACAGCTGGTTAACTCAATGTACATGCAGTTTTGCTGGATGAATAGCATTTTTTTAAATAAATAGACCGCTAAGTTTATTAGGGATCAATTGGACATATATTATGTTTGAACAGGCTCAAACATAACAAATGTCCAATTGATCCCTAATAAACTTGGCAGTCTATTCATAAAATAAATGCTATTCATCCAGCAAAACTGCATGTACATTGAATTAACCAGCTGTTGTCACAATGGGGCAAAATTGAATGTTCTTAGCCTATTTTTCCTTCTGGTCAAACGTTCCTCAAATATTATGGCCAGATGTAAAAATAGGTTCATTCATAGGAACATAGAGTGAATCAGGAAAATACCTCATTATGGATGGAGCTGAGGATCATAAGAAATAAGTACATCTTAGTAACAAGAGAAATAATGTAACGATTCCAGAGAACACTGTAGGGGATTAACAAATAAATGTAACTATTACTACCACGGGGATCCACAGAAAACAAATTGTTCTGGCTGTGTAGTTCAGGTGATCATCTATTTTCTATAATAACCAAATTGTGAATAAGATAAACTGTATTTACACAAAGAATATAAACAACAGAATGTTTTGTTTAGTGCAGGCTATATAATAATTAAAGTGTTTTAATATAATTTTAATGCAAACGTCTAACATTAATTCTTTTACATTATTTTTTATTATGTTTCTTTTGGATCTAGTTTTAGTAAATATTTGCTTTTGCATATTTCAGATCATCTTCTACGAGGACAGGAACTTCCAGGGCCGCTCTTATGAGTGCAGCTCCGACTGTTCTGACCTCCACTCTTTCTTCAACCGTTGCAACTCCATCCGCGTGGAAAATGGAAACTGGATGCTTTATGAGAATCCCAACTTCACCGGACACCAGTATTTCCTGAGGAGGGGAGAATATCCTGACTTCCAACAGTGGATGGGATTTAATGATTCCATTAGGTCTTGTCGCATCATCCCTCAGGTATACTTTTATGATTTATATGATGGAAACCTGTACTAAGGGAAACACAGAGATTGTAACTGCTTATCCCATTCTGAAAAAAGCTAGTTAACTGGCTGTATTTGGCTTTTTGTCCTTGAGCCACTGATCTGGATCAAGTCAAGGTAGAGTCAAAGCTCCTAAGGTGGATACTTGTTTAGAGTGTCTTAGAAAAAATGAAGCCAATGGATAAACATTACAGCCAGGGAACTATTATTTTTAAAAAACAAAGTCCAGAAATGACATTTACAGTATTGCTCGAGTAAAGAGATTTGCTCCCCCGTTTCTAACCATTGACAGGTTTTTCAGTGAAAGGGAGCCAGGTATAGGATAGGACAGATAGAAAACCACTGGATATATTTTCACCCTTTTCTAATAAATTGATGAACAGAAATGGAAGAAGCCTGTTTCATGATTCTTTATTTGAATCCCTGATCTGGAATGAAATCAGTGCAAAGTTATAAAAGATGTGCATGCGTGCTCCAGGTCAGTGGACCTGGAGGTCAGGTTTTTCAGTGAAAGGGAGCCAGGTATAGGATAGGACAGATAGAAAACCACTGGATATATTTTCACCCTTTTCTAATAAATTGATGAACAGAAAGGGAAGAAGCCATGATTCTTTATTTGAATCCCTGATCTGGAATGAAATCAGTGAAAAGTTATAAAAGATGTGCATGCGTGCTCCAGGTCAGCGGTGCAAAATGTATTAAAACCATCTGATCAGCATAACAGCTACGTAACTAGCAATTTTAGTAGAAGTGATCTCTGAGTACTGGTTTCCTTTAAGACTTTCCATGTATAATAAGCTCCAGGAACTTTTACTTATTTTATATTTATTTATATTTCAGATATTGTTTTCAGAATATGTTGAGTGTGATTTACAATTAAAACTGGGGCAAGCATGTAGTGGTCATTTATCAGATTAAATTAAATTAAATGTTCCAGGTTACGGCTTTGTTTTTTCTACAGTTTTCTTTGTGCCGCTTTTTGTAAATCAGTCCGCCGCTGTCTTCTTCCTTGCTGAGGAGATATTGGAACCTGAAGATCCTTAGCTCCCAGTTTCCCCAGTCACTAGCCAAGGCTTGAGTGTAGGGTAAACAAACTCTGATTTATTGAGCAACTGCACAAACTTTTATACAGAAAGTGATCAGATCAGAATATAATCCCATCACATCCCCCGTCCCCTCCCTGGACATTCTGTCTTCATAACACCACAGGTGTCCACCTGCTAACGAGCTCCAGACAGCCATAGCAGGAGCCAGGCCAGAATGTCATTGTTCTGAGCTCCCTCAGAGAACAATGGGAGATAACGAGGGATGGTTCTGATAGTCTTTCCATAACCAGGTCACACAGCATAACGCACTCAAACATAACTCAACACCAATACACATTTAACTTATAAACTGATCACCATGTCGTCACAAGGCTAGTTCCTTGGATGTAGGGAGGACCTTGCCACAATAGTGCTGCTGCAGTTGAAGAGTCTCCCTCCAGATCTCCCGGCGTAAAGCGTCTCTCCTTCCCAGCATATCCTGGGCAGAACCAGGATTGTCGAGCTGGGCCAGCGCTTCCATGGCCGTAGGCAACTGTGGCTCTTCTCCTATGTCCGCAGCAAACTTGGTCCTGGTGGTGGTTTGAAGGTCTCCTTAGGCAAGGAAGAGCATCCCACCGCCGCCACCAATGTGACGGACCCCCGTACTCAGGATGAGTATGTCCGCCGCTGTCTTCTTCCTTGCTGAGGAGATATTGGAACCTGAAGATCCTTAGCTCCCAGTTTCCCCAGTCACTAGCCAAGGCTTGAGTGTAGGGCAAACAAACTCTGATTTATTGAGCAACTGCACAAACTTTTATACAGAAAGTGATCAGATCAGAATATAATCCCATCACATCCCCCGTCCCCTCCCTGGACATTCTGTCTTCATAACACCACAGGTGTCCACCTGCTAACGAGCTCCAGACAGCCATAGCAGAAGCCAGGCCAGAATGTCATTGTTCTGAGCTCCCTCAGAGAACAATGGGAGATAACGAGGGATGGTTCTGATAGTCTTTCCATAACCAGGTCACACAGCATAACGCACTCAAACATAACTCAACACCAATACACATTTAACTTATAAACTGATCACCATGTCGTCACAAGGCCTACCATGCAAAATCTATAGAAACAGACACACATAACCTGAGTTACATAGATGTTGTGATTCAGTAAAGACACAGGTCTATTCAGCTCAAATCTATATATGTATGTGTTTCTCTGTGTAGTATTCACTAAGCATTCCCATACCCTTGTATATTATGCTGCCTGAGGAAGACTTCTAGAAGTTTTTTTGAATGTGTCTATACTCTCAGCTGATACCGCTGCCTGGGGAAGGAAGTTCCTGTTTACTGTTCTAACAGTAAAGAATTCCCTTCGCAATTTTAGATTAAACCTCTTTTCCTACAATCTCGGGTCACTGCCACTTTTCTTTTCGGGGACCAATTGACAATTAACAATTTGTACATTAAAATCATATCCCCAATTAAACACCTCTTTTCCAGTGTGAATAAGTGCAATTTCTGCCATCTTTACTCATAGCCCAGGTCCTCTAGCCCCCTTAGTAATTTTGTTGCCACCCTCTGCACCCTCAAATGTTCAAGGAGATCCTTTCTGTTGATCGGTGCCCAAAACTGAGCTGCATACTCAAGATGAGGCCTGACCAGTGTTTTATAGAGTGGTAGAATTATACCATTCATACCATTTTCTATGAATGACAGTATTCTGCTTGCTTGGTTATCAGCAGTCTGTGGTCTACTAGGGCTCCCAAATCTTTTTCCATCTCTTATTTATACAATGGAGCTCACACTAATGAGTAGATTGCATGTGTATTTTTAACACCCAAATCAATAACTTTGCATTTTTTATTATTAAACTTCATCTGCCAAGTAACAACGTCACTGGCGCCAAAGTTCCTCCTCCAGAGGGGTGTGAGCACCACGACTTCTCACAGGTGGGGAGCACTTGAGGCAGTCAGGGTGTCTGAAGGTCTAGCATACAGGAAACATGAAAACAGTGCACCTCTCTAGTGTAGAAGTCTTTATTAAGTGGAAAATGCCTGAGGTTTGACTGAGGTTTGCAGAAGTGCATCTTCACTGTGAGAACATCTGATGTTTTCATGTTTCCTGTATGCTTCATCTGCCATGTGCCTGCCCACTGCCCTATTTTATTAAGCTCTTCTTTAGTGTTGCTACATCTTGTGATGACTTTATTACCCTACATAATTTGGTATTATCAGCAAAAACTGAATTATTTATAGCAGCCTCAATATCATAATAAACAATAAGCAATGTATTTCTTTCTGTATATTGCCAATCCAAAGTAGTATGCCTGCAGCTATCAATCAATATACTGTAAAGTAAATGTTTTAAATTTTTAAATGATTTTAACATACAATTCCTGTTCCTCCATCAGTATCGTGGATCATTTAGGCTCAGGATTTATGAAAGGGAAGAATTTAGAGGTCAGATGATGGAGTTCACTGAAGATTGTCCTCAAGTCCATGAAGAATTCAACTACCATGACATCCACTCCTGCAATGTCCTTGAAGGACACTGGATCTTTTATGAGCAACCCAACTACAGGGGACGTCAGTACTACCTGAGACCTGGCGAGTACAGAAGATACACTGAATGGGGAGCAGTTACACCTAGAGTTGGTTCTTTCAGAAGAGTCCAGGAAATGTTTTGAAGGCAGCATTGCTGTTGTGATAATTCATGCATAATATCAAAATAAAGTATACTAATAAAACGTACAAGTTGACTTTGTTCAAGCATTTGAAATAAACACTACCTTAAATAGAAGCTAACCAGAAACCATTTTGTCTTACACAATTTAAAAAAAACAGCAAATTATATTTTATGATCTTGTGTAAAATGGCAAGCATACTCAAGCTAAAATATGCAATTTTATTAAGGATTTGGGAAATAAACATTCTTCTGTCTACAAGGATATTTTTATACCCTGAGCACCTACCAGTGAACCTCAGTAAATTTTAGGGTTTTCTAAAGTATGGCTAATGTATAATACAAAGTATAAGAGGAGGTTGTTAAAGAGTGCCTAAGCCTCTAAGCATGCATACTATTGCTAATGCATCCACATGCCAAGACACTGAAACAATACATAAATCACCATGCTTAAAGTAAATGTGAATGCTAATGACCTCAAACCAGTGCATGAACTATACATCATTATCCCAAACAGTAAGCCCCTTATTCCAAGTAAGAAATGGCATTAAATACCTTGTAGATTCACTTTTAGAAATTAGTCAGGTGACCGCTATTCAGTCAATTTTCAAGCGCTGGTGAGAGTGGGGTGCAGGGACTTGCTATGAGGATCAGCCTTTTTTTCTCAGGAAGCAGCAAGAAGTGTGGGGGGGGGGAGTTTCCATTGAAGGCAGGCATCTAATAGACGTCAGCAGGAGAGTACATTCTCTGTCTACAATGTTCAGGCAGAGCAGGGCTTGGTAGGGGGTGTAGCAACAAAGCTGATTACAGGGCTACAGGCACACTGTGCACTTACACGGCATCCGATCTGCTTCTGTTCTTGGCATGGTCAGATTGCAACAGTAAGGTAGAGGGACTGCAGAATCACCTGGTAAAATTAAGAAAACGAAGCGGTAAAACTTGAACAGGCTACAGTTACAAACACACCCTTGAAAACACAGACACCTTTATGAAATAAAAAAAATGTAGGGGTAACATACACTTTAATGCCAGAAAATGCAATCCCTACAAAACAGTGAGACCAACAATGCTCAAAACTGATTTAATGTACAACACAAGCAAACATTGGTTAAGTAAGTATTTGACTATGTGCCTTGCATCCTTTCTGATATTACACTTTGCCATATAAACTGCACCAGTCTTAAAACATGTGAAATTATCTAGTACCAACAGGTAAAGTGCAACTGAAGCCAAAACCTTTTTTTTATTGTCAATAGAGTGGAGAGGGATTAGAACCCCGGTCAGATTTTTATTGCTGTCTGTGTCCCCGTTAGGGAGATTCACCCTTTCTATTTGTCTTAGGGACTGCTATCACTGAAAGCAGAATTTAAAGAAAAACAGAAATTTTGGATTGTTATCAAAACAGGAATAGATGTGAAATCTTTCAATTGGGACACCAGTTCTGCGGATCCTGCTGACCACCAGGGATTTCCCTCTACCTGGAAGGATTACCTTCCAGGTAGAGGGAAGCACATAAGCACAATAAATTCAATGAACATTATTAAAGGAGAACTATGAGGTGAGTGTTTTTCACTCACCTCATAGTTCTAGCCGACCTGTGACAATGAGACTGTCACAGGTCAGCTCAGTAGATCGGGAGGTGAGAGAACACATACCGGCGTTTGCTCACCTCTCGATCCTGTCACGGCTCTCTGTGACAGGGGAGGGGCTCGATTCCCCCCTACCCGCTCCGATCCGCCAGCGCTGACTGGCGGAACGGACGGGGGAGGGGGCGGGTACAGCTGACTCTGCCTCTAGATAGGCAGAGCCAGCTGTCACTCACGCAGCTGGGCGGATCTCGACATCGATGTCGGGATCCGCTCCGGCGTCTCAGTATACCGCGAGCTGTAGCTTGCGGTATACTGAGCTTAGGGTAATGGGAGGACGCTAGTTTGTGTCCTCCTGTTACCCTAAGGAGAACTATGGGGAAAAACACTGACCCCATAGTTCTCCTTTAAGAAAACATGCTTGCAATGTGCTTCTACATGCTGAGGAAAACCATGTGAATTATTAGGCCCCGTTCACATGTAGCGACTTATCGCACAATTTCCGCTGCGATATCGCGCATTTTTGCCGTGCGATATCGCGAGAAGTCGCCGGCCAATGCTATTCAATGGAGCTGTCTTAACTCCATGTCGCACGTCGCTCGTCGCGGTCGCAAGTCGCTTCTACCGGACCCGTTTTTCGGCGGATTTCGCGCGATTTCGCTTTTTTTCTATGGAGCCCGGCGGAGAAGGTCGCGCTACCATCGCTGGATTGTCGCTGGAACGTCGCCCCGAAAGTCGCGCTATCCCGGCCGCTGCAAAGGTATGTCGCTACATGTGAGCGGGGTCTGAACTTGTTAGGCTTTAAAGTGTATCTAAACACAAAAACTAAAAAAAATCATATAGTGCAGATTACCAGTCCTGCAATGTCTGCATTAGTGCTTCAGGATTTTTCTTTCAATTTAACATGGTAATTGTGTGGATAACACACCTCCTGTCCTTTCCTGGTACACTTACTCCTTCAATGGTTGTCACACAGCTATGAACTTAAAACATGTCTGCCTTTGTTCACCGCATAATAATTTACAAAAGGAAGCTAGCTAAGTATTAGATGCTATCTTTTCAGCTCACCGGAAGTGACAAAGACACCTAATTTCTGGCAGGATCAATAGGTATTTACTGTAATTGCAGAAAATGTTCTGTAGCCTAAAAAAAAGAAAACGAATGCAACCACTGTGACGATAATGGGGTTTGATTGTAATAATATTAAATATAGCATTCTCTTGTTCCCCAGTTCAAAGCAAATGCAGGCCTTCGTTTAGTCATTTGCTAGGTCCCTCCACATTCCAAAACACAGAGATCTCCTAATCTGGCCTGTGATCTTTATTATCCCAGCACTACTTAACAAGTGAGAGTCCCAAATCACCTCTAAGCTTTTTATGGCGGCCCCTAATTAAAGGCATGCAATCAGGCATTCATCTATTAACAGTTGACAAGTGATATAAACACAAGCAGGTCTGGCAGGGTTAATGACCCAGGTGACCCAGCATTCACCCACAAGTCATAAACCTGAGTTACAATAACGTCCTGACGAAGCCCCAAGGGGAGGGGCGAAACGCGTAGACGCTGCTGTCAGAGATTAGGTGGATAACCCAGAGACTGTCGGCAGTACAGCCCTAATACCTTTCGATTCAAAGTCACAAGAGGATTAAAGCTCCAAAAAAGAGTAAAGTCTGGATCACTAAAACACCCGGATGCATACCAACTGAGGGGGAATCAAAAGGACACATAAACAACAAGCCATAAACAGCCCCACGCGGTGGAAATCCGTGAATGGGAAATCGAAGGACTGACCGGGAGGTCATGTGAGTAGATCTGCTGTTCGGCTTCAAAACACGAATTAGCAAAAAAGCTTTAAACTATAATTTACTGTCATATATGAATGATCCCCCGATGTAAAAAGGCCCGGAGAAATGTTGTATTATTGATCAAGATAATGAAGTACATCAGAGCAAGCACCTAATCCCAGGGTTAATTTGGATACATTTCAGTATCAAAAATAACCTATAGACCTTAGGAATTTAGGAGATATATGTACGGCCAATGAAGGGACATCTATCCACCTCACCACCGATCTAAGTCAGTTAGACTAGTCATCGTTTTTTAATCCTTTTGACAGGTAACTGTCAGCTATGTGTCCACTAATGTTTGTTGCATGTCTTCGATCAGTAATAAATAGATACATTTCTTTAAAACCTGACATTGCAGTTTGTCCCATCCGATGATTAACCCTTGAGCTGCCTTCATCTGTAAGACAGTTCGCACATCTCCTTTTTTGCATTGTTAAACTGGTTACAGGCGGGGTTGACAAATCAGTCTTTAAAAAAAGGGGCTATATATAAGAGCTTGACATCTCCAGGAGCGAAACAAACCCAGTATTACACTGAGTTACAATATCAGCTCCATTTCATAATTTGGAATTGTACAGTGATATTGTCAAATTAAGTGCAGAAAATAGCTGTGTCTCATCACAATGAAAACAATGAATATTCGTTAAGCTTATCCCTACACTCTAAATACAAACTTAAAGTATCCTTGCCTCTGTGGAGAGCGCTACGGTATAATGAATCCTGTCATATTCCTGTCTGAGAGGACAGCGGTATCATAGGCTTTGTTTAAATTGTCACAGCATTCGTTGGAAACGGTGCGTGCTTCTATTAAAAACATGTGGTGGCAGCGAACGTTTAGTGTGTAAAGGGTTAACTGTGGAGTTAACCAACCCTAGTGACGATCGCTCTCATTCTGCTGGCCTGAGATTGTTGTCCTGTGAGCTGGGAAATATCTGTGCAGCGTGAGGCTGAGAGTGGTATCGCCACGTCTTTGTGACGCCACGCTCAGTTCAGAACTGCGTATAGTCATGCGTGATTGATGTACAGCGGGTTCGGGCTGGGCGTACATCACAACCACCACATTTAAGGATTGTCAGCTCCATCTGGATATCAGATGGAGGTTGGACATTCAGGAATGCTCTGACAACGGATTGATATTTCCATAAACACACATAAAGATTAGCCAGATACGCACATTTAGGGTTAATGAAGAGATCACCTCCCAAACACTCATGATGGCAGCTAATCTTAAGGGAAAACAACAACAATCAGCTAGAAACAAACAAAGCAGCTAGTTGACTCATTCCCATTGAAAGATTTGCCTTGAAGATGTTTGGGAATATCTGGGAAATCAAATTAAGGACATACAATTTCTGTAGCTGCGTTTACTCAGATTGTTTACATTAGTGGCGTGTGTGCTTCACAAGTTACAAATAATAGATCACATAATAAAGTAACACTGTTTTTTGTCTTTCCAGCCTTTGTTTTGTCAAACTTTCCATCAATCTTTAAATCTTATACTTAGGATTAGATCAACATTTCAGCATTACGGTAACGTGTGCAAATGTGTGTTATGTGCATTTGTGTGCTATTTCACTAAGACAACCCACCTGTACTGCAACCCACCTTAATGCACTAGAGTGCATT